GAAATCATAGCCAAGAATAGGGGTCGCTACATAACCATTCTCAGACACTGAATAACCTCTCATTATTTTCTTTATATGCCGCTCATTTGGTGTGTATATTTTGCCAATTCCACCCGAGCCTGATAAACTGCTCACGATGAAAGTAGAAATGGAAGGCAGACTTCCCTTCTTAGACGTTTTCACCTGCCGCCAACCGGACGGCAAAATGGCGACATTTGTCTACTGTAAACCGTCAAGCCGGAAAAGATGAAGCTCTTACGGAAACCTTTGAGAATGACAGCAAAAGAGCGGACCGAAGAGCGCTGCCCAGAAACAATTGGCAGAGCATCCCACACAAAAAAAGTGGTCTCCAATATCGCGGCTTGATCCCTCGTGACTCTCTGAGAAGGAGTTTCTTAGAGGCCTACTTCCGCAATCCGGCAACACGAAATGCGGTCGAGAGACCCTATCCCTAAGCAAAAGAAATCGGGCGTTTTCGGACTACTTATGTAGAGCTTCGGAAGGTGCAAATAGGCTGCTAACGTGAATGCATAAGCAGTAATAGGAATTGACACAAACTCGGAGGTAGTAATCCACGCTGCATAAATGAGGCATGCCTTAAATTGTTTGGCCAATGAAATTGTGGGCCGAGATGACAATCGCTTATGATGGCAGATACAAAAGTCTGTAAACCGCCACATAAATTTACCCGCTATCTGATGTTAAGAAACTTTTTTATCAGAAGGACAGTCACGGCGTGGAAAATTTGGTACCGTTGAGTAACTATATGACCAACGTATATACGCGTTAAAATAAGCCAGGGCGAGACGCGCGTCGGCGCGACACAACAGGTGACAAAAGAACGTGGGGGGAAAAAAACACTAGCGCCACGTTGGAGGACAACGTCAATAGCGTCGTCAGCAGAGAAACAAGTGACAGTGAGATATGAGTCACACAATCACCGACATATAATGGGAACCATGAGCCGGATTATGCAGGCTGTCAAGATGAGTTGACGGAAATAACTACCCCAAACATCAGACACACAATAAACGTCTCTCGGTGAACGCCCGTCCTTCTTCTGACTTGGGAATCCTAAATTCTATAAAAATCAAAAAACACCTTATCTGGACAGGTAAATTGACCAGAAAACTGCATATTATATACGTAGCCATTTTCTACCAACGTTTTTTCTATGAGCGACCTACGTAAAGTGCGTGCAAAAGCCAAAATTTTGACTTGTTATACTGGAAGACTACTAAAAGCTTATATTTATTCATTTTTTCTGCAAAATATATATTTGAATTATAAATTAATAAAAAATCTAAGTAGTCAATTTTACTCGAATTTATATTTTCAGTCGATTGTTAAAAAATACATGCGAACCCGGCATCCTTTCGAAATTATATATTGTGATAGTATGTTGCCCAAAAATCAATAGTACAATCCAAACTTTATATTTCCAAAAGTCGGTTTATGTTGCCCGAGATGGGCAGCTATTTTAACCAGCTCTCACGCTCCTGTGGCTTGTGCTTCAAAACAAACGTGCAACTAGCCAGTCCATCTTCCCAAGCTAGCTTAGGGGACCTTCTACCAGACTGAGTGTCGCTTTTCTCATTTGTAGTTTTTCTTAATGTGAACCTTAAGTATGACTACTTAGTTTGTACACTGCAAAAACATTACGCACGCTGTGTAGGAGAAAGCATCATATTGGCCCTTTAACTTCTTAATCCAAGATTAATGATTGGTTGCCCGGCTTTCTCCGATGTGTAACGGCGCTTTTCCTTGCAGATGCTCCAGCAGACGCGCAAGAAGAAGGTCTACTTTCTCCTCCGGTTTCCACGTACCGGATTCTTTAAGCTGCAGCTCTACGCTTTGCCTGCAAATGACCGCAGTGATTCTCTGCCCAACGTATGCAATTATCCGATTGAAACCTCCAAATGCCATCGATTGCACGATCAGGTGATGCCCTTCCCGAAACAGGTTACGATCTGGACTCGTGGTTGCTATCTAAGGACTCCGACCGAGGGAATACTTGGTTTAGGTGACAATGGACAGTTGAGCAGTAAACCTCCGCATTATCTGCGCTTTAACGTCCACGTACCAAACGCCATTGCCGTAGCCGTGGTTGTGGGTCAAAAATGGACCCAATTGGACTCTGAGGATGACCGCTGGAAGGGCAAAGTAAACATGAAAGAAAACTGGGGCAAAGAGCGAAAGCTGGATGTTTGTGCTAAATACGCCGCCAAAGACACCAACTACAGTACCTTAATCGAGTACTCTCTAGCTAGTTGAACGAAAATAACTAGCATCTGCTTCCACCGACTCCAGCTTGTGCTGCTTGAAAGGAACTAGCGTTATCGCCTACAACACTATATTTTTATAACTATCAGGGCTGTCAACAACCTGCACCACCCCATCCCAACACACAATATAATGGCGTAGTGTGCATTCAAATGAATACTATACATGTGTGAATCCTTCCCAGATCTCTTCGCCTGACGAATTAATCTCTGTAATTTACCAAAAAATAGGACTGCTTGCCCCCACAGTTTGCCATCCAACTGATGTCCCTAACGCTGTGATCGCTTCCTCTTCCGCACAGGTCCACCTTACTTCTTGCTATCGATCACAGATATTTTACTGTATACTTACCTTTCGAGTTTGTAAACCAAATTAATAAGTTCCCCCGTTCTGCATTTGCTTCGACCCACTTTAAAACTGAGTGTTTACTTTGATACTGAGGATTCACCCTCGGGCGCATATTTGACTGTAATTTCAAGCATAAACACACATTGACACATTCGGTTCCTCCGTTAACGCAAACGCGCACGCGCTCGTTTCGACCGTATATCCTGTCCAGGAATTGGGCTAACATGTAGTGAAAGACTTGAGCGTCAATAGTGCTTTAAGCCTGCATGCTTTCGGGTGCAGGTGCATGGTTCTAAAATACACCAAAATTATATCTGGGCCATATCACTGAGGAAGAAATCTAATGTTTTTTATCGTTTGAATTGCTACTTAATTTGGTTAGGTAGGTTGTTTGCGTGTTTCGATTAAAGAGAAAATTTTGCAGGGGTCCAACTTTATGAGACATCGATCGTAGCCGTAAAGCACGCCATCCAGCTGAAAATACAGTTTGGATAATGGTGTCTAGGATTAATGTCGACCCCGTGATATACCTACCTGCATTACAATATTTGTAGCTATCCAGTTTACTGTACATAGACAGGTCTTGCCACGTCGTTTGCATGCAGTTTACAGTTTTGTTAACATTGTGAACCACCATCTCCTTCCACCCACTACATCCTGTGCCGATTTGAGAAAAAAACGTTATCGCCTACTCAAATAGAGGTTTCAATGATACCCAAGGCGCCTCACATTCTTTTTTGTCTCCGCTCCATCCGAACACACATAATTGTGACTTAGTGCTCATACATATGAAGGGTGTACACTTAATTTGTATGTCCTTTCCACACCTCTAACTTCAAATAGCCTCTGCAGAATTTGGTCTGTGCAATTAACGTAAACCGGAACTACTACTCTCACCCACGGTTTTATCTTCCGATTGATGTTCCGCTGGTTTAATCTCCCCGTCGTCCACACACTTCCACCTGACTTCTTGGTATCGAGAAGAAATGCTTTGCTTTGTAATTACTTTTACAGCTTGTGAAGAGAATGTATCGGTTCCCAGTTTTCAACCTATGAGTTGGCTTGCTTTCCAAACTATACCTAATGTTTGAAACCGGGCGTTCGCTCTCGGATCCTACTGTAGCTCTTGTGCCAACAGCGATCAAATTATGAGAGAGAGATACGCATCATTTCGAAAAAAAA